TGGCAGAGAGTGAATCTGCGTCTCATTCAGCTTGTTTCATGCAGATATTTTTCTAAGTCAAACCATTCTGTTTTTGCTTCAAATTTCGAAATTATACAATCTAATTTAGATATGCAGCATCTTTGTTTGGATCATGATTAAAATGCAGTGGTTGCGTCTAATTGTAAATGGAAAGAGCACAGACAAAGCCTTATGAAGAGATTTCTTTTATTTGTGTTACTTATTTATTTTATTTGGAGCTTTTTTTTAATTACTTTTACATTATATTTAAATTTAGTCATTTAGCAAACGCTTTTATTCAAAGCGACTTACAAATGAGGACAATAGAAGCAATCAAAACCAACAAAAGAGCAATAATTTACAAGTGCTATATTAGTATATTATTATAGTGTTATATTTCAATTTCACAAAGAAACGTACAGTATTTTGTCCAAGCAATAATAAAAGGACACATTTAATTTATAATTTGACTTAAATCTAATTTTGTAAAAAAAAAAATCGTGAATCGAATCGAATCGTGAATCCAATCGTGAAATCAAAATTGTGAATCGAATCGTGGAATCAAAATCGTGAATCGAATCGAGGAATCAAAACTGTTAATCGAATCGTGGAATCAAAATCGTGAATCGAATCGTGAAATCAAAATCGTGAATTGAATTGTGAAATCAAAATCGTGAGTTGAATTGTGAAATCAAAATCATGAATCGAATCGTGGAATCAAAATCGTGAATCGAATCGTGTAATCAACATCGTGAATCGAATCGTGAAATCAAAATCGTGAATCAAATCGTGAAATCAAAATCGTGAATTGAATTGTGAAATCAAAATCGTGAATCGAATTGTGGAATCAAAACTTCGAATCGAATCGTGGAATCAAAACCGTGAATCGAATCGTGAATTGAATTGTGAAATCAAAATCGTGAATCGAATCGTGTAATCAACACTGTGAATCGAATCGAATCGTGGAATCAAAACCGTGAATCGAATCGTGAATTGAATTGTGAAATCAAAACCGTGAATTGAATCAAATCGTGGAATCAAAACAGTGAATCGAATCGAATCGTGGAATCAAAACCGTGAATCGAATCGAATCGTGGAATCAAAATCGTGAATTGAATTGTGAAATCAAAATCGTGAATCGAATCGTGGAATCAAAATCGTGAATCGAATCGAATTGTGAGTTAAGTGAATCGTTACATCCCTACTTAATATTGACATGTTTTTTCTGAAAACAAGACAGTAATTTTAAAAGAAAAAAGAAAAGCATTTTTTGCAGTGCATTTACAATCTATTTATTTGCTCAATTATATTGTGATTATTTGAATTCTTTTTTCTCTTTTGTTTTTTCCCTCTTCTTCTCTCTGTCCCCTCCTTTTTTCTCTCTCAAATAAAACTACTTTATATACTATGTACTATACGTATATATAAAACAATCTTACACCAACACGTCACATAACTACATGAAATTTAATTTTGTTGCTTGCGTCTTTGTTTGGGCCTTGTTTGTCTGTTGTCAAATTCTATTTACAGCACTGTTTTCCTATATTTTGTACTATGTTTCCCTGTATGTTGTTCTAAAAGCAAATAAAAAAAATAAATAAATAAAATATGCAAGAGCATCTGTAAAAAGAAATGTCATAGTCTTGCAGCTCATTGGTTCAAACGTACTAATAAATGCAAATCTCTCTGTGAAATTTCTAGATAAAAGCATCAGGTAATTAAATAATATATCCAACATTAAAATTGCAAATGCTGACCACATAGTTAAAATTAAATTACAATAACTGAATTTAGTTATTCGGTTAATTGGCGATGTAATGTTATATTGCATTTTAACTACTTTAAACTGGTTTTTATTATACATGTAGCTTTTATTTTCTTATGTTAATCAAGAAATTGCATGGAAAATTGCTTTTAAAAATAATCGCAATTTATTTAAATGAACTGCAATATTTAAGTGGACTTCAAAAAGCTGAAAATATGTGGCCCTGCAGCACAAAAGCAGTCTTAAGTCGCTGGGGTATATTTGTAGCAATAGCCAACAATACATTGTATGGGTCAAAATTATTGATTTTTCTTTTATGCCAAAAATCATTAGGATATTAAGTAAAGATCATGTTCCAAGAAGATATTTTGTAAGTTTCCTACCGTAAATATATCAAAACTTAATTTTTGATTAGTAATATGCATTGCTAAGAACTTCATTTGGACAACTTTACAGATGATTTTCTCAATATTTAGATTTTTTTGCACGCTCAGATTCCAGATTTTCAAATAGTTTTATCTCAGCCAAATATTGTCCTATCGTAACAAACCATACATCAATGGAAAGATTATTTATTCAGCTTTCAGATGATGTCTAAATCTCAATTTTGAAAAATTGACCCTTATGACTGGTTTTGTGCTCCAGGGTCACATATTAAACTGTCTTGAAATATTCCCCATATCCCCTAATACGCTCATATTCATATGTACTGTATTTTAATCTACAATCTTGATTTAAAATTGAAATGAAAGTTAATGTTCATGTTTTCTTGTGAAATGCACAGGAACACACTGCATGCAGCTGTAATAATAATAACTCATATTTTCTCCTCCTTCTCTCTGTGTGCAGGCTGAAGCGCTGAGTCGCGGCGGTCTGGAGTATCTGTCTCTGATGGATGATGGGATTGATGGAGAGATCAGTTCTGGGAGGAAGAGGCTGAAGAAGACGGAGGAAGGACTGTACGCCTGCGACATCTGCGACAAAACCTTCCAGAAGAGCAGCTCTCTGCTGCGCCATAAATATGAGCACACAGGTACAGTACAGGTGTATACTGTATATATAATATGCTGATTATCATATTTAATATTTATTTATAAATATTGCATATTTATGTGTGTGTATATGTGAGTGTTGTATATAAATATATACAAATATATAGAAATAAAAAATAAAATGTACATTTTTATAAAAAAAATATATAAAAATTTGTGTATATGTATATGTGTGTATATATATATATATATAATTGTTGATTATTATATTTATTTAATATTTATTTATAAATATTTTACATATTTATGTGTGTGTATATATAAGTATTGTATATAAATATATACAAACATATAGAAATAAAAAATTAAATAAGTCAACTTTTATAAAAAAAAAAAAAAATTTAAAAATTGTGTATGTGTGTATATATATTGGTTATTATATTTATTTATAAATATTGCATATTTATGTTTGTGTTCATATATACAAATATATAGAAAAAAATTAAGTCAATTATATAATAATTAAAAATCCTATAGAGACAGACACAGAGAGACATATTAGATAAGAGCTACACTTTCTTCTCTCTCGCTGCAGGGAAGAGACCTCATGAGTGTCAGATCTGTAAGAAGGCCTTCAAACACAAGCATCATCTGATCGAGCACAGCCGCCTGCACTCCGGAGAGAAGCCGTATCGGTGCGACAAGTGCGGCAAGCGCTTCTCACACTCGGGCTCGTACTCGCAGCACATGAACCACCGCTACGCCTTCTGCAGCCGCGACAGCGAGGCTCCCGCTTCAGCGCTGGAGGACAGCGGCGCGTATCTGAGCGACTCCAGCACGGAGGGAGCGGCGCTGGAGCTCAGAGACGAGGAGGACGAGGACGCACTCAGCAGCCGCGCTTATGATGGAGGCGTGAGGACGGAGCGAGTTTCCTTGCAGCTGAAGGACAAACCCACAGACGGAAACCAGCAGCAGGAGAGTCCCGAAGGACTCGTGTTTACCAAAGATGTGAAACTGACTCGTCCTCTTTAGCGCTCAAACTGTGACTGTGAACAAAGTTTTCAGCCCAAAACACGCGTTTCTCCAAAGACTTGATTCAGCATTCAGCGTAATCCAGAGCTTCCCTCGCTGTGAGAGGCACAAATGATCTGCAACGCTACCAGATTAATACATAAATATACTAAATAAATTAATAAATGCCAACAATCTCAGAAAACCTGCCAAAGTCATATTTCACATCAAAATAATAATACACATTAAATATGAAATTATATTTTGCATAAAATATTAATAAATAAATTATTGTAATGCGCATATATTTTGGACTGCCTTTAATTTATGCTGACATAAAAAATAATTGCATTACGTAAATGTCATGATGAAAATCTGAAATGGTTTCGAAAGGAGGCTTTTTTTTTTCTTTGTACAAAATATAATTTCGAAAAATTGATTCTTCCAAGAATATGTCAGTCATATTTCCCACCAAAATCATAAAAATAAATACATTTGACATTATATTTTGCATCAAGAAAATGTGCCAGTTTTTAGAACCATTAAGATTTTTCATACTGGAATTAGATTCTTATTAACATAAAGCAAAAAAATAAACGAAATAAAAATGGAATTATTGTAATGCACATATATATATATACAAGTACAAATATTTTTAAAAATAACAAAAATAACTGACTTGCGTAAAAGTCATGATGCAATTATCTGAAATTGTTCTGGAGGCTTTATTTTCTTTATTTAAAAAAATAGAATTTTAAAAAATATATATTCTACAAAGAATATGTCAAAAGTCATTCAATATTTTGCATATAGAAAATATGCCTGTTTTTAGAACCATTAAGATTTTTCACACTGTAAATTGTCATTACTACAAATAAAAATAAATAAATTAAAATTAAATTAAAAATTATATATATATATATATATATATATATATC